CGGCCAAACAGCGAAATAAGTGTATCACTTTGCAACATCAGATTAAGTTAAGCGTAAACAAATCACATCTGACTTTGTTTTCCCTACGGTGAAAAGTAAAAAGGTTGGATGTTACTAGACCTAGTGGGTGGTAGTATCGAGGGGTGTGTGTCAGAATTACTATGCTCTAATTACCGAACTAATCAACTGTGTGAAAATAGGATTGGACCCATTAAATTACCTATTGCATTAGGTTAGTGCTCTAATATTAACACATGATGTGAATGCGAAATTAAGTCGATTAAGAAATGTACATCATTTAATATCACTGGTGTGAAGTTAATATGCAGTGGAAGTATCGATGCCGGTGTTGTCACCTTAATGTGCAACCGATCAGCGCATTCAGTCATATATTTTCGCCATGTCCAGGTAGGTGGATTGCAATTCTGAAAAGTATTTTCGCGTTTGTCCGTTTCCTGATTCTGTAACAACTTTCAATTACAAATCTGAATGATTATCGCATACGTACGAGGAATCATCAATGCGCTACCTGCATATTCTCTGTTTAAGGTGCATACATCCAACTGAAATATAAAAGATACGACAAGTATTTGACGTTTGCGGACTATACTAATAGAACAAATGTCCTCGGATGTCCCAAGTTCGTCCTTTAAATGGTGAAAAGTAGGTGGAGGGAGTTCCATAGCATTGACACTTAAGGGACGAGAACACTGATCCAAAATTTAGTCGGGTGTATTGCTTTAACAGCTTAAACGGAAGGTATCAAAAATGTCTTTCACCATTGAGCACGAAGCTTCTGCTAATTTAACCTAAAGTACAGGTCTGTGGTGAACCACATGTTTTATCTTCTTTAGGTAATTGATGCATTGCACCGACTTTCATTTCAGAAGTGTTTACAGCTGGGCTAGCAACAGCGTTACTAATTTTGTGGCAATCAGGCCATTAAGGGAGCATGTATTAGGTATTTTGCGCCGTAAATCAACTTCAGGAGATTGCGTTTGCGAATGGTCGGAAGGCTGAATGTTTGGAACACCATGGAAAATCATTAAACTTCCATCGGATGTTGGCATTTTCCTTCAGAGTTTTGCTTATTTTATCAAAGCTAAACTCAAAAGAATAAAGAAAAAATGCAAACAGCGCATGATGATTTCTAAAGACATTGAGATGTCAAGACGAATGTCTCCGATTCAGCAATCAACTAGCTTGTCTCCTAAGATACCATATTGCGCCATAATGAATAAGGTTTTGGGTGGAGTGCGATGCGACCCAAGCTAGCCTGTTTGGTTTGGAATCCAACTGTTTTAGGTTACTTTTGTATCAGGCGTATCAGATCATCTCGTCTTCAGAGAGGTTTGCACCTTTCTACATTTTACAAGTTTATATGCCTTGGCTATCTTCATCCGACGGTGCGATAGTCGGCCAACTCGTCTGCGCATTGTTATTAATTTCATTTCTAATATTATTTGTTAGCTGAATATGTGATCCAAGTTTTCATTTTTATCACCATGTAGCCAGGACGGATACGTAGGTTGTCGGGTTTTCGACAGCAGTTGATCCAACTGTCTACCTACTAGCAAACATAACAGACTGGCAATAGAGGCACAGTTCGAAAACGTCTACACACAGACTTCGCAACTGATCCTAACTTCTGAATTGCATGCAAAAGAGTTGAAATCCCTGTTGATACATGCCTGTTATCAATATCAGCGTGCACGGGTTCCGCACAACACACCGGCGAAACACGAGCATATGCAAGCACTGCAGCGACTACTTAGGAACGATCAACTTCTGCTCACCCGTCCAGACAAAGGCGCCGGCATTGTTATCCTAAACAGAGCAGACTATCTCAACAAGATGGATGAAATAGTGGCAGATAATATGAAATTCTTGAAAATGGCTGGTGGGCGAGACAAAACAAAGCAGATCCGAAATCAACTGTGTGTCTGTCTCAAAAAGCTTAAGAATGATGGTTATATCAGCGAATCGGTCTATGAAAATCTACGCCCCGTGGGCACGGTTATTCCAAGGCTTTACGTTCTTCCCAAAACCCACAAGCCCACCTGCCCTCTTCGCCCGGTTTTGAACATGAGAAACTCCCCATACCACTCGATCGCTCGTTGGTTGGTAGAACTTCTTGAGCCTGTGCGTAGACGAGTCACTGTACATTCCCTAAAGGATACTTTTGCGTTTGTAGGTGCGGTGCGTGATGTCAACATCAAGAACCAAAGTGTGTTCTCTAAATGTCACCTCACTGCTCACGAATGTACCTTTATTCGAAACGATTGAGTACATTTGCAACTTTGTTGATGAGAACCATCTTAATATTGGTATATCAACTCTGGACCTGAAAGAATCACTGCAAAGGTGTACATTTAATGTTCAGTTCCTATTCAGCGGTGGTATATACCGACAGCGCGATGGAGTTGCAATGGGTTCCCCGCTAGGACCATTCCTCGCTGATGTTTTCATGGGTATGTTGGAACAGGATAAATTGAATGCGGTCATCAGTAGCCTCACCTTATACCACCGTTACGTAGATGACATCTTCGTCCTACTTGACACCTCCGATAACATCGAGAAGCTCACCAGCGTAGTTAATCAGGCTCACAAGGCTATAGAGTTCACCTACGAGGTAGAAGAAAACGGCGCTTTCCATTTTCTCAATGTAGCTCTAAAGGACTTGCTGATGATGCAATAAAACGTAGCGTTTACCGAAAATGCATTTGGAATGGACAGTATATAAACTTTCATAGCTTCTTGCCGCTTGAGATTAAGAGAGACTTGGTCCTCAGTCTCGTGAATCGGGCCGAAAGAATCTACTCGAAGGATACTATTTTCGAAGAGTTGCAGCTAATACGATCGACGCTTAAAGAGAATGGCTACGCAGAGAATTTTATTAATGCGAATATGAGGCGAAACAGGGAGGAACCTATGGTCCTGATGGCGGAACGTAAAACTATTTTCCTACAACTACCTTACAAAGGGGAAATAGTATCCGAGAATCTATTCCGCCGTCTCTCGTCCACACTCAGGAATACCTACCCAGCGGCGAGGTTGCAAATTCGGTTCACCAGCTGCCCAATGGTGAGACTAAACCTCAAGGATAAGCTGCCTGTCCACACAAAATCAATGTGTGTATACTTCTTTACCTGTTCCTGCGGATTAGGATACGTTGGTCGTACGACAAGACGCTTATCCGAAAGGGTGAAGGAACACCATTTGGCCTGGCTCGGAAATGGAGGCCAAAAGGTCTCCAACTCTACCATCGTCACGCATCTTGCGGATACGGGTCAAGCCACCAAGTCTGCTGACTCGTTCAAAGTGATCTATCAAGCCCAATAAAATCTACCAAGGTATTTCCGTAAGCGGATATTAGATGCCACAGAAGCCGTCACCATTCGGCTGTACGAACCAGCACTGTGCACGCAGAAAAAGTTCACTCACGCATTGAGCCTACCTTGGCCAGGACAGACTGCAGTTGACCTGTACAGACGCACGACTACAACTGTAACTTAACCGACGGTGTGTCACAGCGCACTAGAATCAATTTGGTTTACTGATGACCCTTTGGGTCTGTATACAAACATTTGCCTTTCATGTAACTGTAAAAGCCTGATGAAGAATTACCGAAAACATATGTTCGCTTATACAGACTTCTGAACAACTGGATACATCGATGTGGTGTTTGTCACAAACAAAACGTCTAGATAATCTGCTAGCCTAAACGGCAATCATAAATGTCTGCAGATACAGGCTACTTTACAGCTTGCGTATTTTTTGTTGGATAATTTGGCTATACACTCTTAACTATACGCTTGATTTGGCTGCTCTTTTGCAAAGCGGAAGATAAGTTTGCATATCAGAACCTGAGTTCTACTGTAGCTGATTGGGATACTGCTGCTACAACAACCTTCACTCGCTCCACAATTTCTCTCAGTCTGCCACATATAAACAGCAAGGCACTTTACGAATAGTTGATATTATAGTATGTAGAGAACCATTTGGATTATAACGTGCTATTGCATTCCTTACCTACGTTGGGTATCGTTCGCTGCATTTGGAATGAATGTGCTTCTTGCCGTTACATCGTGTTATTTGCATTTGTATAGTATTGAAGAAAGATTGTTTTGTGCAAACGTAATGCTAGATTGTTGATCAGCATGTCACAATTAGTACAAATCTTAGCGCGGGCTTAGTTACAAACATTCCGGCGTTTAACATTTAATAATGTGACATAAGAATAGAATAAAAGACAAATGACGGCGTGTTTGGGTGTGGCAAACTACGGAAACACTCGAGATAAGGATTTGACTGTTCTTTTACAGAATATCGGCACAATGACAGTAAGAGCCAACAATAAAGCAACTGGAACAGCTGATTGCAGAAGTAGGTATTTTCCTATGACACAGCCATATTGTCACTAGTTGTTTTAGGCTTCCTACTCATCGGTAGAACAGGGTGCTTTTAAATAATTTTATATTTTCGAGAGTGAAACAGCTTTTCTGGCTGACAACAGTAAGTTATTTTTGGAAACGTAATTTTTTGGGTAGCTGTTATGAATTTTTTCGGACAAGAGTGGAAGCTAACATAAAAATAAAACGATTTTCTACCAAGAAGTCCGTAAAATATCATCAAAGGTATTTGCTTCCAACAAGTAAAACATCAGAAATCACGATTCCGTTGTGTGACCGGTCTTCACTATCAGCGACAAACTTCTGCCACTAAAATATCAAATCCAGCACACAAGTCATTTGAAGTTATAAGTCTCTGATCATAAGGAAGTTACAGTGCAATATCAAACGGAAAAGATACTTGCATGAACTGGTGAAAATACCAGCAAATGTAGAAGTTGCATTTCAGGATTTTGATCGTTGAATCTGATTCGACATATAAATTTCGTCAATGGCAAACGTGTAGGGTCAAAAGCGAAGCAAAGTTCAACATGGCATTCGCTTAATCACCATTGACTCCGGTCAATAACTTGTCGTTCTGTCCTTCAGACATATCCCTTACATCGATGCTGGAACATATGCAAAGTTGTCCGTTACTCATGGTGAGGGACTACATGAAAAACATGTGAGTAAAACGATTTCTGTGTTTGTTTTTGTATAAACCAATTAGGATAGTGCGCCAGTAAGTGGAGAATAACTGCTACAACACAAGTAGTTATGGGATAGTAGGAAACCATTCCATATGGTAAACATTCAACCTCGTTTTTGCTGCTTAAGGTAGAGCTTAAAGCTGCCTCGGTTACATATATATTACTAGTGCAGTAACTAGAAAACTGTTTTTTTCGCATTTTGTGAATTTCTGATTAAGTTTGATCCAACCAGAGCAAGTACACCGGAAAGCCATAAATTGAGTTGCGCATGCTGTAACCGAGGATCTAATGGCATTCTCAAACCGCTATCTTGTCTGTGAAACGAAAATGCCTATGCCATAATGCAAAGTGAACTCCTGACTTACAACAAAAGCGTTTCCCTGTTACGCTGACAAATTCTCAGTATTATCTTAACCACAATGGTGCTGTGCATATTCAATACTGTTAAATAAGTATTTTGATTCAGGATCGTTTGTTAATTAGGTTCAGGCACATAAACCAAAGCCAGAGTCACTTTTTATAATGCAGTGCTTATGGTTTGTTCACAATTGTCAACGACAAATCACAACAAACCTAAAGAACTAAACTGTCACATTTGTAAAGATTCAGTAGCAGCATACCAAATGACGCTTGGCACCTTAGAGGTATAAATAGCCGTAGTAGAATCCCGTTGGTAATTAATTCGTACATATCAACTAAATTATGTAATTCCTTATAACCAACGTCAAAATAGGATGCTCCTAATAATATGTTGATCATTCGAAAGAAGATTCTTAATCAGGTTATAGTTGAATACATTTCTTACTTCCGTCAGTGATTCATACAAAACTATTTCATATATAAACGGTGTTTTCCGTGAAACTGGCACAGGATTTTAAATTAATCAAAGAAAAGTTGTCATACCAAGTAATCGACTGAAAACAAAGTAGTGAGGAATAAGTACACCCCATCCTTCTAATGTGGTATAGAAATGTATATAAAACTGTTCACAAAGACGTTCACATTTTCTAACTTTTACTCTGTTTAACTTTTTTAACATCTGAAATAAATGCTAGCAGTTTTTCACTATTGTCCCAGTCCTACCCAACTGCTTAAGTAACGAATTCCAACCGCTTTTCCTTGAGAGTTTACATGTCATGTGTTTGGTGTGGTTAACCAAATGAACGCTGAGCTAGGTAGACCTCAACATTATGCAGGTTTGTTGATGGTGACTGGCTGCCATATAAAACCAAACAACCAATTTTACCATTTGACACCCTCGTTCGTTTTCCGTGTACTATCGATGAGCAAATTTACCAGAACCATCTAAGTGGCACGGGTTTAGAGATAAAGTAAAGTAAAAAAACACTTCACGCTTGTTCCATTAAATACGGCCAGGAGATCTGTATACTAATGGTATGTAAATTCGAAAAGCGCAAAACTTTTTTCAAAACGTTTAATTAAACTTTCGCTTTCTGTATAATAGCAACTGATTGTGGCAAAATTGCTTAACCATTTAATTAGTTTGCAAACCGACGTTTATTCAGCAGCTAATATTGGAGTGATAAAGCGGATGACATATAAACAGGCTCCAATATTATGGGGTCTGTTCCAATCTAAATGAAAAATGACCACATAAGCCGATTTTAAATAAATTCCAAAAGAAGGCAAACGAAACTTTCCTTGATTTCTATGCAAGCATAGGGCTAAAGAATTTTACGAAACCTGACCTTATTTGTCAACTTACTAACTGAATTTATTTCACCAGTCAAGCATCGTCATTTAGGTCTTGGTAGACTAGATATCCCAGGTTGTGAGGTGGGTGCTACGTCCAGTTATTTAAGGTATTCTACAAAATTATTAAAACTTCTCAATGATATTAGCGCATTTTACTTGACGCTGATGAATATAATTCTCTACTGGGCATAAAACAGACGGTACATCTAAATGTTTACATAAATGTGAGTCTGTGGCTCAAACTATACAATTGTGCAATTATGCAAATGTGTCATGGGTTTAATTTTTTATTATTCTAAATGTTTTTCTTTACATATTGTTAAATTTCTTGCGGAATAATTCCTAACAATCAGGAGGTTACTGCACCAAAACCAACGTCTAGTTCAAGTGCCAAATTAGCCTTTCCCTTGAGACATGCATAGTGCGAACTCAAAATCTGTGCTACCACAATTGTCCCACTCTACCCTGTCGATCTCCTCCTTTAGTCTCTACACTTATACTGTCAATACCAATGCCTTCAATAAGTAACAGCAGGTTTGGATAACACTACTGGCAATTTTATGTTATTTTTGAATTATCGGCTTCCACGTATTTCAACAAGTTAAATGCAGGTCGTTTTGTGTTGCTCACAGAATTAAATGTTAAGTAGCTCAAAGTTATGCGTGCATTAGTAATTTATCCGCCTTGGTTACAAGTACAAGGTAAAGCAAGTTGATGTAGTCTAATGTGGGGAACTGTCTATGTTGGACTAGTTTCGCAGTACATGGAAAATGTCCTATGGACATGCTAATAAGCATAAAGCAATATCAGCTCTGATATATAACAAATGATTATGCACTGGCAGGTGCTGAGATCAATGACCATGCAAATATTGGCTGATGTGGCATAGATAACATTACAGCATTTGTGTGCGTGAAAATTTGTTTACGAAATGCGGTATGATGATGGAGAAGTGATACCTGACATCAGAGAAGCCAGATATGGCGCATCAAACCAGTCATGCAACATTGAATGTAAGCAGTAGACAACCGTTTCAGCTCCATCAAAAGAAGAACCCTTTTGTTTCGCTTTCTCAAAGGTAACGGAAACAGAAGTACTTTACGAAAGCAGTTATCCGGTTTTTACCACCAGACTGAATGTAGAATATTACTTCGAAGAAAAGCAAATCATCACTGTGGATATGTGAGTTACACTGTTTTTCCATATTGGTTTTTAATGATCAATAAAATGTTTTGCTAAGAAAAGTAGGTTTCTGCAAACGTTGATTGTATAGGCGAACCCATACTTGCCCGAACAACTATGGCGCACATGTATAATTGCTTAGTTTCTTAAATGCGTCTGTTATACCTAAGTTTAATGCATATTTCTTATTTGTTTTGATGCTAAAATTGTAAGTCCCGATATAGTTGGCAACAGGAGGCATAATGTTAAAATGTTGATAGATTTTTGCAAACGTTACCTTATTCGCAAAAGTTAGCAAAATAAATTTAGGTGATAGATTAACATTTTACCATCAAATTATCAGTGGTTACACAGCCTTGCTGCATAAGTCAAAGTCTAGAAGAAACTAACTGTAAATTTGGCAGTTAGTGCTATCCTACCGTCCACAAATTGCAACACTAAATCCCTATAGACAAATGCTAACTAGATGACTTAGCTGATTTGACGGATCAGATAGACGATTATTGCCACGTAATTTCTAGTATAGTTGGAATGGGTACAGATGAACAATCCTCTTTTTTCGTTTAGATTGCATTGTAAACGAGAGGATAGAGAGGTAAGCAACTCGAAACCATTTGTTCAATTTTATCTATTATTTTAAAAATTACTTTCCTTTTAACAACAATCAGGAACGATTATATCCGCAGGCGAACGAAATTAAAAATTCTAAGATGTCCATTTTGGCACTTTTATTAAGTACTTTAACTTTTAAATTGTACTACCACTACAAGCAAAGTCAGCTATAATATTTTTAGTGGCTTATGTATTTGACTTTTGAGATATTTACACCTCTTCCTTTTTTATTTGAATGCTCCCTTAGTATGATTTGGTGTCAAGTCCATTCAGGAAACAAGTACTTATTTTATTTTCTGTGATTGCACTGTCCGGGAATTTGAACACAAATTGTTGAATCCAGTGAACTATTTCTTTGAATAAATGATAGTTCACACCATAAGTGTGAAATATTTGGCAAGATGTCACAGCCTCCTATTGAACAAAACGGCGGCACATGTAGCAGCGAAAACTTCCTTTATAACTGATCGGCTTCTATTTGAATCAGATATCCTTATCGTAGAATTACTCCTTTCCTTCCCTACTGTTTAGTCGTATCGCATCGCTTACATTTACCTGTTAACCAATGCATAATAACGTATCGGAGAAACACTACGGCCTCATTTGACAAAGCTAAGCACCCCTTCCTCCATTTACAAACATTTAAGGACTGTTCATTTAATGTTAGAGACTATACTGTAGCATCTGAACGTGACTAAATGCGTCTACAATCTTTACCATCGTTTTATCTCGAAGGCTTACGTAACAACGCTGTAAGTACAATGATTTTGAAAAGAACTTGATGTTGTCCTAAAAATACCTTTTCTATTAGCGTTATTTATTTTACAATTCCAGTATCGGTGGATCCTTAAACCTCCTCCGAAGGATTGTTATGACTGATTGATTAAGATTATCTTTAAACATCAGTCATCTTCAACATTACTGCGGTAGATGTTCTAGACATAAGTTCTCGTAATGATTGTCAATTTAAACCAATTCATCCAAATACACTAGGGCTAGCGACTTGCAAATTCCAATTTTAGTTGAGGTGATATGTCACAAACAAGACACCCGATTGCCAGATGACAAAGACCTAATGGGTTCTAATTCCGTGAACATAAAAAACAGAGTGTCAAACAACATCATGTGTCTACCAGCATTAATAAGGAAACCTTTTTATCCAATAACAAGTTTTATTCGTTGAAGTGTAATGTACTCCGCTGTCAAGAAAACTAAGACGGCAAGTGCGTTAAGGTACAGCTAACCGCCTAACGCAAGGTTACAAATAGGCGTATCAAGGTCTAAAAATTTCATAGAAATATCAAATGTAATATCCTTACGGCAGTGTTACATTTATATTCAGAGCTATCAAATACCGTGTCAGAACTTATAACGGATAACCTCCAATTGATATGAAAAAGATTTCTAATAAGGATTTTTTCACCGTATGAACCTCAAAGAGATTTCCAGATCAGGCCAATTGATTACAGCTTATTGGGTTGATGCGATGCAACATGATTCTTTAGTGACGTTATTACACGCTAACTTTGGTATTCAGCTGCCACAATTATCATGCCAAAATGTAATGTGTAACATTGGTACAACTATTTCAGCCGTCGCGTAGTGGTCACAGTAAAATTTATGCTTGTCAACTGGATATTTATGACAAGCTAACTCATTGTTGATGCTGGAAAAAGAAATCGATATTACACCATGTATACTTCTCAATTTATGCGGGCAAACTATGGCGGGAAGCCCCATTTCCGATTTGGCAAGAGCAAATCCCGTCGCTTCATTTTCCATTGCTTACCCATCGCTCTTGCCCAGATTAACGATAAGCAAGCCTGAATTATCCAGGTAACAGTCACTAATTAGCCCATCACTTATGGTTGAAAGCTTTCCAAAAAACGGTTTATATGGGATATTTACAGAAAATCATTTGTCAAAACGTATTTATTAGCATTTTGACCGAAATAATATCAATTTGCTGTTAACAATAAGCAGAAGACTTTCCTTGCATTGATATTTTGTAAATGGAAATTAAATTATGCTTGCCCGTGTGGATTGAAACCTTTGTAAAATTATTGCGCTCTCAACTAAGAGCTCCAAATAAAAAGTATTCTTTTGACTATTCTGATTAAACAGAAACAAATCAGCACTCAACTGGTTGGCCCATAATGTCGAATTTTATTAGAGTGCACTGGAATACATAATCAGCATTATGACCATTTGGAGTAGTTGATAATGCGTCATATTTCTCAGTGTTGCCTGGATTTCATAAAATTTGCATGAACAAAGGTGACATGTTTACCTCGCAAATACCGGCGCGTAACTAATGTCGGTTGTAATGAAGGCACCAAACGCATTTTAAATGATGTTACGTTATTTGAACCATTCCTTAACTATATCTGGTCAGCTTCATACGCTTAACGAAATAGGTAGCTGTAATTACGCGATCACCCAATGTCGGAGTCATTTAGGTCATTACCAGGTATGTGTTTTACGGTCCATGAACCAGATCTAGGGTAAATGTAAATTGAAGTCCTTAGGTCAATCGGGCATGATCCATGTTGAATGTCGGCAGCAAAGATCCGTACAACTTTAACCATTAAACTGAGGAAAGAAAATAAATATTTTACTAGGAGAAAAATTAACAAACGGCAATGTCTAGTATCATTTTGTTTATCGTGCGTCATTTTCTTGCTTTATTATTATTTCCAGGTTTTTACGATTATCTACAACACTATAAACTATTGTAAATATTAATGTGGCACACAAAGTGATATTCATCGATACATCACCAACCTAACTGATGTATCGCTCTCTCAGCTAATCATCCTCGGTTCCGTGTCAAAAACTGGGCGCCAAACTGATAAACCAAACTGATAAACGAAACGATTTTAATGCTACTTAACACCTATCTCATTTGTAGCCATCTGTCAACATCACTGAACATGCTCATCAGAAAAGGAGGAAGAATTTATCACTTCCATCAAAGTCTACATGATGCTCGCCGTTAGTGCGGACTTACGTTGACACTAAAGTTTTCCTAGATTTATGCAAATGAACCTATTTGTACTGACTCATAACAATATTACAATACTACCCTCTTAGTTAGATGTTGATTTCTGTGGTGCAGTCAAATTATGCACTAACTGGGGTGTCAAACAACGATTTAACACTGGATCCCCAAACTGGTTATTTGTTCGCGATCAAATTCACCGCATGATCAAGGGGTAGCAAATTCTTTGGCTTTCCATTTTATTCTGCATCCACGCATTAAGAATTGTTAGGAAGTATGTCGTATGGTTTTAAGTGTCATTTACATGTGTTCCAACAGGGCCTTTAAAACAGTCTAACAAAGTCATCGCTACAAGGCGAACGTCAAACGTATATATACATATTTGTATACATATATTAGAAACTACTGCATAGCATGCCAGAGAAACTAAGCATATTTATTCTAATATTTTAAGACAACAGGATTGTGTAGTGATAAGCCTAGCAAAACAATGACAAGTTTCAATTTTTCCGCTGGCCATAATTACTACATTGTATAAGCCTTTTCCTAAATACAGTTGTAAGCAATTAATTACTGGGACTTTCTATTTACCCAGTATACAACAAGTATAATGACTGCATAACTAAACCAAATTCACTTTGGGTAGGGAACCGACAAACATCCGTTGACAACAAAGATTGGACAGCATAAAATCAACACAGATAAATGAATTAAGAAATTCAGTTCACATCAATTTAAAAATAGAGCTTGCACTAGTTATAGGTTTTGGTTTTCTCTCAGAATTGCAATGAATGTGGGTCATTTGGTAAGAAAAATGACATTGTGATTTATGACAACCTATATAGGCTACACCACATAAAGGGAATTACGCTGTCATAATCGTCAGTTGTGTGAATCAGCTGTAGTTTAGACACTAGAAAGGAAGCGGAAATTATATAGGCAGCTGGGCTGGAAGCATTACTCAGCTTTACCCCAAGTTCTTCCATTCCTAGTGCGGCAGAAATCTAGTTCTGCCTCAAACTGAACAAGAGGTTCGCATGTTTTACCACACACCTTGCCCAGTTTGTTATGACAAAAATCAACGCACAAAAATATGTAGTTAATGCGGAAATCAATTCGGCCTGAAGTACCCTCAAGTCTGAACTCCCCACTGCACCTAGTCCTTGTAATCGGATATTCCTGTGCTAACACAATTGGTGTCATTAGCAACGTTAATCTCCCCCTGCCATACCCTAACATACTGGTGTGGGTCATCCGGTTCCAATTTAAGCAAAATTGAGCTGTAACAATCACGAAAACACGAGAACATAAGTATTCCTACTTTTTATTATAGTTTAAATATTCAAAGTGACATTGAACCTACTTCCGATATAATATATTAATGCTGACATACTACCACCATATATTTACTTACCAGTGGTCGATTAAGCAGGATAATAAAAAATACTAGGATTTTAGTGAATCGTAAATGAGCCGTAGTCCGTTGCCGTCGTTTTTCAACACACCTCGGTTTGCGTTGTGCATACCACCATTGCAGTTCCTATGATATTGAAGGAGATGATAAGTGAGGGCTAGATGAGAGGTGGGCAAAAATGAATGCTAAAAACGGGGGACTGCTCATTTCAGACAGCTGCTTCGTTTTCATCTTTAAAAGTTGACCTTTTTGATTAACACATCAAGCCTACAACAATCATTTCTGAATTTCGAAAATAAACGAGCATGTCTGGGTAAAAATATAGCATGTGTTGTAGAAATTGAGCAAGGTTTTACTTGCTTATCTCTTAGCTAGGATAAGATAATCCTTATGCTCCGCGTATACTTGAGTCTAATGCTGTGCATCCCTGTGATAGCCATGGTGTTTGTTCCAGTGGACACATCTGCTTGATTGCTCCGAACATATAAGGATGGATTCGCAGTGCGGAGCAGAAATGCGTATGTGAAACAATACTTTGTTTTCCTTGAGCTCAAGCAATTGTTTTGTT